ATGTTATTTAGGAACGCCGAAAATCAGGAAGTCGATTAAAATTACTCTTAAAATTAAAATCCTTTGCGCTTGCAATGGATGAAGTTAAAAAATCACTTGTATTAAGTTTACAAAACACTCAATTTGTTCACACACAAAATTGTCAAATTAATCTTATTTAGACTAACTACAAGTACTATTATTTTAAAGAATCGCATTTATCTGCGCAGATTTCTTCATTCAATACTTATTTGGAGAACTTTATAGGAGACATAACTTTCAAAGAGGTGCATCCAATCATCCATCTGGAGCAGAATAACCTAATATAGTTTAAAATTAATTTCTCTTACTTACACTTAACACTTAAGCTATAAGTACGACTGCAAAATTTATATAAATTGCTTTTAACGGAGACATGTGTATTGGTAAAATATGTACAAAAACAAAAGAAAACACGATGACATCGACAATGTTTTCTAATTTCAAATAATTTAAAGTCTTCCTTTTTTCTAATGGCTTGAGAACTAAAACATGTAAAAACTCCTTGAACGTCATTGAAATCGAATATTATTAAAGACAACGTTGACGTTCTGAATATAGCTTTTATGGGGACACATCCGTCGGTATAACAATATGAAATTGGTCATAATCTTGGTGCCAACGGAGTCGATGGCATACCAGGGCTCTTGGTGATGTACTCCACGAATTGGTTGTCATCAGTTATTAAAGCGGCGCTACAATGAACGACGATGATTCTGTAAATCATAATTACTAGTCTAATTTGATTTGTATAAAAAGATAGTATTTTTAGCAACGTCGAACGCATTTTAATAAAAAAAAAAAGAATTACAAGATGGAGAACAACTTTATTATTTGATTGGACACAAAATCTACCTGTTTTAAAGTAATTTTACAACAATAACTTGGAGGAACGAAGAATCAAACACTAATAACAATTACAACCTCAAAATGTACCGAACACTTTGACACATGACGCTATCAGAGCCAGCGAGCGAATGCCCGACTTTCAAAGATGGCTACCTTTAAATGATGCCACACTAAAAATGTCTATTATTCCTTATACATAGATAAACGAGACATATATCGTTTTGTAATCCTCTGAGGACGTTGTCCATGACACGTTGAAAAGTAGAGCGGGAGTTTTTTAAACCCATAGGCATGCGTAAGAATTCAAAATGACCATGTTCAATATTGAACGCCGTTATTGAAGGATCTTCAGGATCCATTTTCACTTGATAAAATCCGCTAGCTAAGTCTAAAGCATTGGCATTTCCTTAGCTTGTCTAAAACATCATTAATATTGGTATGGGGTACTTGTCGTCTATGGTTTTTTCGTTTATTTTTATTCTATGTTTTATTTTATTGGTAAATGTTATGTTCGCCATCAATGTAAAAAACGTCCGCATATCGAGAACAAAGATTTATAAGGTTTGTCTTTTCTTCCTCATTTAGGTGGTCCGTTCGTAATCGAGATATAACGTCATCTTTGCGCGTTTTGAGTTTTGAATTATAATTGCATTCTATGTTGAAAATTTCGGCTTGTGCCGGTTGGTTGAGCGAAAAAAACTATGTCGTGCTGAGTAGGGTTCTCTACTTCGATATATCCGCGGTTGTTGCTAATATTGGTGATGCATTCGTGAATGATACAATTGCAAATGATTTGCTCTTTCTCGTGTACTTCACCGTCTGAAGTGTTAATAGGCACACGTATTAATTTAGTACATCCTGCTGGAATTATATCCTCATATAAGTTTATGTTGCGAGAGTCGTGCATTCGTATCGGATTCGTTGCAGATCTCGTAACTAAGCAAAAATCTTTTAAGTCGAAATAGCTTCCCACTTACTTAGTAAATCTAAACCTATTAAACCGTCGTAATAGTTGTGAAAACGATACACGAATAATTTTATACAATTTGGGTCGTTAAATTCTTTGAAACAAGGCAGCGTTACAGAGTAACTATTTCTGCTGGTGGCATGTACGTTTGTTACTCCGAATGGGTCGTAATTGAGCGGAATGTTAGGGAAATAAGTTTGTAACGCTTCGGTTCTTATGAATGATTGATTTGCACCTGTATCTATTAATAGTTTTAGTGGGGGATCGGAGATAAAGATGTATGGAAGCTGTCGCTGTGTTTGCAAGTTTAATTCTATTTTGTTTTTTTTTTAAAACTTCGTTATGCGAAAATACGAATTGTCATGGCTAGGACCTGGTTGAGGTTCCATTTCGTCTGTTAAGTCATTACTATATGTCACGTCGTAGCATATCTCATCAGGGTTATAGTCGTCGTTAACAGTATTGTCCACATATTCTGGGTAGTAACATTCAGGTTCGTGATAGTACTCGGGATAGTATTCTTCATACGGAGTACACTCGTGAACGTTCATGTCCCTAGACTTAAGATAGTTACTCGGTTGTGGGTTACCTGACTTGACTAATCATGACCAGTCATCGAAATATGGGGTAAAGTCTTGGGCATAAAATGTTGTACACCACTCATAGGCTTTGGGCCCGAATTTTGTGGGTGGTTGTTTCTGGGTGGTAACCGAAACACATTACTGTGGGGGTTCTAATCGTTTTTTGGATATTGATATGTCAATAGTTATATAGGGTAATGATGTTTTGTTAGACATACATGAAATTTCATAGACTTTATTATTTTCGACAATAGGAGGATATTCGTTGTTATTTGAATTTTTAGATATTGAATGACGGACACTTGTTTGGGGCTGGCTACCCTTGTTGTGGCCCTTGACTGTAGAGTTTTCGACACCTATTTGGGACTGGCTACCCGTGTTGAGGTGTTTAGATTTAGAGTTTTGAGCACCTGTTTGGGGCTGGTTACCCGTGTTGAGGTGTTTTGGAATAGAGTTTGGGACACATATTTGGGGCTGGTTACCCGTGGCGATGTCCCTTAAAATAGTAGAGGTGTCTTTTTTTTTAGATATTGTTGGCTTTTGTTTTGCGGGTCTCACGAGACACCTGCGCGAGCCCACTATTCGTTTAAATGATCTTGGTCGTGTTCATTATCAGAAGCGGTGAAAAATTGTGGTTCGGAATTATATTCGTTGTCAGTAACGCAATTAATATTAGCGGGCCTAGGTTGGGGTGCCTGAGGAGCTTTGAATTTGTTGTTTACATTCACGTTTCTTACATACTTCAATTGTGTGGCCCTGAGTTTTACAATACCGACAGGATGGTGTTTGTCTTTGATTGTTTCTATCGTATTGTTTAGATATCTGTGGCCTAGGCCCCATATTAAAATTAGGGCGGTTAGAGAAATGTTGAGGTCATGGAGTAGTTGCGCGTTTATTAAATAAATTTAGAATTTACTCTTCAAAAACCGCTGAATTTATGGCTTCGTTAAGATTTGACGGATTACTA